GGTGCCGGGGAGCTGCTTTGAATAGGTCAGGGAAGGCCTCTCTGAGGAGGTGACCTTTGAGCTGACATCTGAAAGAGCAGAGGGAGCCAACGGTGAGGAGGTCTGAGGGCTTAGCATCTCCTATGCGAAGGAAACAGCAAGTGCAAAGGCCCTGAGGCGGGAAGGAGCTGGGTGTGTTCAAGAGATGACATGGAGCATGGGAAGCATGATCCGAGTGAGAGAGGCAGGGCCCAGGCCATGCGCAGCCGCAGGCGCGACCGGGAGTGTGAACTCTGGTCCGGGTCCGGCGACAGGATGGATGGGCGCGGAGATCCGCAGACAGGGATGCTACCAACGCGACGGGCGCTCTGCGTCCCTGCCCGCACCGCCCTCAGCCTCACGTCATATTTCCGCCTGCTCACTGGGGCGGAGACAGCCCTCGTTAATCTCGGGGAGCGGGAGGGCAGTGCAGCGGCGCAGACTAACTAGAGGACACAAAGGCCGCCTGCCCAGCTTTGTTTTGAAACCGTCAATTCCAAACTCTGCGCGCTGGCGGAGACAGGGGTTATTGATTTTCCCTTCTGGAATGCATGTCCTACAGAGCCCTGGCAAATAGAAACTGAAAAACGGAGGAAAACACAACTGCTGCGGAAGACAGGGCAAACAGACATTTTCAAAACACAATCTATACCGGCCTTTGTCTTCTTCCCATAAGCTTTGCTGGACTGTGGCTTGTCATCTCTCTCTTCTCCCCCCAGTTCATTTCTTTTCCCCTATTTCTATGTCTTTCGGATTCTTCTCTGTCACTCCTGCCCCCCTGCCCCCTTCTCCCTCTCGCTGGGTCTTTGTCTGTACCCAGCACAGCGTTTACCTACAGCCTTGTGTGTGGAATGCGGGTCTATCTCCAGGTCAGTCCCTCCGAGTGCCTCTCCTCCAGATCAGTTTGCTGGGCTCGCTGCCTGCCTCTCTCTAACTGCAGCCCCCCTCAGGCAGGCAGCAGGGGGCCCAGCCCGAACAAGCAGCCTTTAGTCATGGCAGAGAAGTGTCCCCAGCTAATTACTTTCTCTCCCTTCTCGGGAGAAGCAGGAGGCAATTAGGGGTTTCCTTCCACTGCCTGGAGGGGCAGGGTGCCACGTCCCTCCAACACCCCATGACAGGGGTGCCTCTGCATTCCCAGGGGGCCCAGCACCCCCTCCCTGCGTCCTTTCTCTGGGCTCTGCCTCCCTGCCCCTGTGAATCCAGCAGCCTCGGGGCTACTTCCCATTCTTGCTGCTGCTGGCACGGGGAGCCAGGAGGAGCCTGTGCGCGCACACGTTCCGGTGCACAGTCCAGGCCAGGGCCGGAGCGTCACCAAGGGCGGGCTCGGCGGGGAGGCCTGGGCCCTGCGGTGTCTGCTCGCTGTTGCCAAATTGCACATGCCGAGTGAAACTTAATTTTTCCGTGTGGAAAATGGGGCGATCACAGACTCATCCTTCCCAAAGGGGCATTTAGGACAAGCAAAGAAAATCCATGTCAAAACTACAAAGTTAAAGTACAACATCCTTCATTTTCTTCTAATGAAGCCTGTGGTATCATGGACAGGCCCAGCTGCAGTCCTTCCCAGCCCGACGGCCCAATAATTCACCTTCTACTCCAAGTAAGAGTGGAAAGTGTTCCAGCCCCAGCTCACACAGGCGAGGAGAGGGCCCGGGCCCAGGGGGAGGTCCTCGCACAGGCTGATGGTGAACGGGAGGGACATTCCTGAGGTTTAAAATTTGCCTCTCCCAACTCACGAGAGACACGGTCTCCGTGTGGGCGACTGAGGTCTAGCAGGAGAAGCGGTGTTTCCCTGGCAGGTACAAGCGTGCTTTCTGCGAAGCGTTTCCTGTTTCACACGCACGGATGCACATTTACAAGCACCACGCGATCGTCGCCTCCTCCCAGACGCTCCCCTCGGTGAACTTGCTCCTCAGCTCCAGCCCCATCTCTAACTGCCCGTAGGACCTTCCCTCTTACTGCTGGGAGGTTGTTTAGTTGAACTCCCTCCTACTCAACCCGGGGGACCGAGGCCCATAGAGTAGCTGTGGCCCACAGACCAGAGCCGTTCAGCCAGCAGGAACCGGGTGGCACGCGTCACCGAATGCACACGCAGTCCCTGGAGGACCCGATCTCGCTGCGCCCCTGGGTCATGCGCTTCAAGCCTGTTCTTCGTCCCGCCCTTTCCACCTCCGTGGACTGGAAGCTCCAGGAAGGCAGCGCTCGCAGATCTATGTGTTTCACTTTCTCTGTTTTCCCCCCGAGCTGGCATTTAATAGGCTCAAAAAACTATTCTCATGGCCGCATGGATGAGTGACTACGAGGATCTGCCATCATCCTCTGCATTGTCAGAGCCGGGACGCATCGTTTCCGACTGCTTTTCCCCTGGCTCCCGTAACTCACTGTTTGACAGGATCTGTTGAGTTGGTCCCCACGGATTCCTGCTTTCGCTTCCGACGGCTGTCTCCCAAGTGCAGGCCCTGATCCCTCCTGCTGAACTCCACCTCACCTCTGGCCCCAGCCTTTCCTTTCCCACCCCCTCCTGACCTAGGTTTCTCTCCCACACGAATGACTGCATCATGGCCGTTCCCAGGCAGAAGCCGGCCACAATCTTGGCATCTGCGTCTAAAGTTCACACTCCTTGCAGGCAATGCTCATCGCCACCCGGCTCCTCTTTTCCTTCCAACCTCATCACCGATGATTCTGCCCCGTAGCGGCCCCCACTCCCACGAGAAAGCCCTGCTGTGTCCTTGGAGCACACCTGACACAGCTCTGCCTCCGCACTTTGCACACACAGTTTGCCTCGTCTACGCTGTGAATGCCAATCATCCTTCAGGCCCAGCTACAGTCTTTACAATTATAACAACAACAAAGGGATACAGCAGTAACAGTGGCTAGAACTTTCTAAATAACTGTAACTTCCACGTGCCAAGGGCAGCACTAAGTTATTCATATGCCCTATTTTATTAACCTTCGCAAAACCCTAGAAGGTCAAGCACAATTCCTATCCTCACCTTGCAGGGGAGGAAATCCAGGCTCAGAAGTGGCAGGGAATGTGCTTCAGGTCACAGACCGGCTGGCGCACCGAACAGCTGGGAATCAGACTTCTGATCTTTCGGCCTCCAAAGCCTCGACACTAAGTAACCTCTAGGCAGCACTGCCTGGAGCTATTTGCCTTCTCTGAGCTCTGACGGCCCTTCACTATGCATAGCCAGCCGCTCATCTGCCACTTTGCACGTGGGTTGTTAAATCACAGGACACTCTCTGTAGGCCCATGTTTCTTGCCCCCGGTTTTCCCGTAAGCCACCTGAGAACATGAATTATACTCTGGGCCTTATGGGTTCTGGCCAACAAATGAGTGCTGACCGAACTGATGAGAGGTGTAAAGTGATCAGTCCATCTTTAGTTCGGTCGGCTAATTAATTCATCCTTTACGTGGTGAGTCTACTCCCCTCCCCTTTCACCCCGGGACCACACACTGACCCTGGAATAAAGCAAAGAGATCACTGCTGCTGCATGACCCCGAGAAGAAGGGCCTGGCGGTAGTTCCCAAGTGACTCAGTGTTCTCACCACTGACCTGCGGGGGTTTAGAGGATCTCTAAGCCCCCCTCTTGCCTTCCTTTCTGGGATGCTAATGAAGACAGCCTCTTAGTTTTGGTTTATGCGCACAATCTTGAGTCACTTTCTCCGAGGCCTTGTCTGCTCCTGGGCAAACGCGCCCAGATGAAGCAGTGGGCAGCCTCTGGTTTGGGAGCACCCGGCAAAGTCCTCCTTGCCCTCTGCTCCCTTCACCCCGACATGCCTCTGCCCTCTTGTGTGCTTTGCATGTTTAACACCAAAAGCTTTCCGCCAAGTTCTCAGCGATGGGAGGCAGGTTGCCTCTGCCTGGAAGTCATCGTCCCCTTCCCAGTACACACAGATTCCTACAGTCCTTATAGGGAAAAGAGAGCTAACGTAGTTAAAAAACACACACACCTCCAAGACTCCTCAAGTTGAATGTGGGCCTGTGGAGGCACACAAGCCAGACCTTTTGTGCCCCTCTCCAACTGCATGTCCTGAAAACGTGGACACAGTGATGTGGGTAGAAAATTCAGAAGACACACCCCTTAGGAGGTTGAGGAGATGCTGATAGCAGCAAACAGTGGAGGTCAGGGAGGAAACGACCAAGGTGATTTGGCAAGTTCAGAATGCAGCGAGGGAACAGTCCCTCCTGGATTGCAGCCATGGGCCAGACGCATGCACACGCGAGCACACACACACACAAGCACACACATGAGTGCATGTAAAACTATGGAATCTGAAGGACAAGGTTGGTGGAATGTACCCAGATCCGTGTCCTTGTTTTGATATAATACTACAGTCACGTAAGATGCCACCACTGGGAGAAAACTCGGTGAAACAGTACATGGGCCTATCTACCATTTTGTGGAACTTCCTATGAATCAATAATTATTTCAAATTAAAAAAAAAAATCCAAGCACCTAGTGAACTGGATCTGTCTGTGTCTCCCCAGGACCCTGGGGCAAAGTCCCAGGGCTCTCTCATGAGACTCTAACAGCCACAGTGAGACCCTCGCCGTCGTGGTCCCCCTCCCCCCTTCATCATCAAGGTTCACATTTATTGAACATTTACTATGTGCCATGCAGTAAGCATTTACAATATTTTCTCATTTGCAGCAGCACCCCCGCCAGGCTGTCACCCCAGTTTTATGGAAGAAAATGACACTGGGAGAAGCAGGCCACATAGCTGCTGTGGGGCCAGCTCTGACCCAGGTCCGGGACGCTCATGCCCCTGTGTGGGGACAAATGACCAGGAGGCGCAGGACTGCATGGAGCAGCCGTGGCCCTCGACGTGTGTTCCCTGGAAGGCACTGAAGCACATCGCTCAGTGTGTCTCAAAGCCGCCCGGGCAGCCCAGGGCACGGCCATACCGCCGGGTCGTCCCGTCCCTCGCCCCCGCTCTGGCCAGAGCCAGGTCTCAGCAAAGCAAGGAGAGCAGTACTCACAGGTTCTTCACGTCGGCGATGCCGCGGAACGCCTTCCTCGGGATGCCCAGGATCTGGTTTTCGCTCAGATCTCTAAACGAGAAGAAAAGAGGCAATCGGAGTTAGGCACCGGGCCGGCTCTCTCCGCATCTCATTACGATAACAAAACCCCTCGCAGGCTGTTCTGGGGATTGTTTAGTCTCAGCCCCAGGCTGCTACGAGCTGTCCCATTGCTTCTCTGGAGATGGCCTTTGCTGAAATGGTTACCAGGCGGAGCTGCTCGCCTCCAGGGCGGGCTCTGTGGGTGGTCTCGCACCTCCAGGCCAGGAGCCAAGACGCTGGGTTATTTGTTGCACACCCGGCACCCAATTCTCCGTTTTGCCACCTCCCAGAGGCGACCCCTTGCCCCTCCTCCCCCACGGTGCCCCTCCCCCACGGCAGGGTGGACCTCACTCCATCTCCCATCTCTCAGGGACCCTCTGCCTTTGTCATCTGGGATCGGAGCAGAGCCCCCACCATCCTTACTTTCGGATATGGAACAACCCCTCCGCTTGGAGTCCCAGGGACCCCCGGGGACTCCAGGGCCATCTTAGTGATGAATTTGAGTTGCATTTCCACAAAACCATCCCAAATGGGGGTCCCTCTGGCACGTCATGGAGCATTAAGCAGTGCTAAGGTGTGGCTTCGAGGAGGGAGGGCGAGGGACTCTCTCAGACCCAAATCTTCTGCCGGGGTCCTCTTTGTGAACCCCCAAAGCCTCCGGTTCCTGTCCCAAGAACTATGAGGTCTCTTCCGTTTTGTTTTCCAGTTTTATTTATTTATACTTTTTGCTAGACCAAATACACACTGTTGTTTTCATTCATACCTCAAGCTGCTCAGGATCTGAGAGAGTAATCAGTCAGATATCTGTGTATATCTATGGTTATATACAGCAATTGTATGTTATATACACATGTGTATATTTATAGTTATAGATATATATCTCCACTATTTTAAAAAGAACACAAAAACTTTCAGATATTAAGGCCAAAAAAAATTACCTACCCAGACATAACCACTGTTACCAATTAGGGGTAATTTATATATAAATTTCACCAATATGATCTCATAGCATATAGTCTGTTATAACTTCTTCACTAATTTTATTGAGAACATCTGTTCATGTCATTAGCAGTACATCTATGCCAACACTTTTAATGCCTGTGTATCACCCAACTGTGTAGATGGCTATATGATCCCGCATGGTTAGGTATTAGTTAGTTAATTAATTAATTGGCTATTTTAAGACACACTAGGATGAAGTTTCCTGCCCACACAACTTGGGGACACGTGTTCCTGGGTATAAAGTCCTATAAAGAGCACGTGCTGGGCCACAGGGTAAACACATCCTGAATTGCCAAGTTGTCCCAGGGTCAGAGTGAACCCAGGGACACTCCCGTGCCGATTTCCCAGGGACACCTCATCAAGAGCTATAGACGGCCCCAAACGCAGCTGGAAAGTGAGGTCGGCCCACCATCCTCCACCAGAGCCTGGGCCACGGAACGAACATTTTGCAAGAGGGCAGGAAGCAAACATGCTGAGATGAGCTGCCACCCCCTGATCGGCTGCAGACACCCAGACATGTGGGGATTGTCCGGGACACCGTTAGGTTCCATGGCAAGGCTCAGAGTTGGAGTAGGGCGCAGGTGGGAATACAGTGGCTTCTGGGGCTGAGTAACAGGGTGCGCCCCCTCTTAAATCCAGTTTCCTCCGTCTGCAATGGATGTAAGTCAATTTAGCTGGGGGATGAGCCTGGGTGCAGGCTCCCCCGGCTGGGCCTGATTCAATGAGCGGGGCTCCAGCCTGCAGTCGGGGCGCTGAACAAAGCCCACGATGACAGCGAAGGTCAGGCAGTGTCACTGAGGCCACTCCTCTGCTCTCCATCAGCCTCCCAGAGAAGGGAGCCCGGGCCCTGTCATCTGACTAATGCAATTTCCACCGGGCATCTGGGCCGTACCCAAGGCTCCGCAGCCACAATGGGCCCAGTCTTTCCTGCCAGGCAGAGGCTGGTCTCCAGGAGCGCGAGCCCCTGCCCGCTGCCCTCCCAGGCGTGGCCGCTGTCCTTGGCAGCTTTGGGACACAGCTCAGGCCACACTCCCGGCAAAGGACTGATGCTCCAAGTCCAGGCAGGGGCAGCAGGCAGGGGAGAGGTTTACAACCGTCTGCTCTAACCACGCCTGGAAGCTACGAGAAGGGGCACATACACGCCCCAGCAATGCACTGACCCTTGGAGTTTAAGGCTCCCCAACCGTAATACAGAAGGCACCGCGATCGCACAAAGGTCCTGGTTTGGAGTTTGGTGGGACAGAGAGAGAAGAGCAACATTTATGCAGAAAAATCTGGTACAGTTGCTGGGAAATGGCCCACAATAGCGGTCGCACAGGCAAAATCCTGCGCTTGGGCGGGGCGGCCCCTGGGGATTCTGCTCGCTGTTTTCTCGCCGTAACTACCCAGGTCCTGCTCCGAGTGTAAGGAGCCCCCGCGAAGCTTTCTTCCCGCCCCCGCTATGGTTTTTTCCTCCCGCCACAACCAAGCAAAAACAGTAGATTGCGGGGAATCTATCTGTTCTCCATGACAATCTGCTTACAAATTTTATTAATTTCATTTTCCATTGAGCCTCTCTTCCCGGTGAACAATGAGGCTGCCATCCGCCCGCGGGAGTGTGTATTGATTTCACAAATGCCTCCAGTCGCTGACGAACGGCGGCTTTAATGGTGTTACCGACGGGGCGTGGAGGAGGGCCCGCCGCACTCCATTTCGGTAACAGTCCCTTTGCAATTATCTGGGGCCTTTGTGAGGGTTCCTACCAGGGTCTTTATCCCAGCGTGAGGCCCGAGCATGGAGCTATTGTTAAGTACTATCCTTGAGAGAGACAAGAGCCGCCCGTTCGGCTGACACTTAAATAAAAATAACAAAATCTATCCGTGGTGCCCAAGAGCCTAGTTCCGGCCAATTGCTTGTTGAGGCTTGAGTGCCTCGCCCTTCCTGAGGGGACATGCTGGCAAGTGGCCGGAAAAAGGGAACCGGCTTTTTTTTTTTTTAAAAAACATTAGAGGAAAGGTACGAGGTTGGAGTAGGGTGGGAGGGAGGTGTGCTGGGGCTTTCGGGGGAAATGAGGGAGATGGCTGGTTGGAAGTGGGGTTATGAACTGAGCCGCCTTTTTAAATAATTAGGGCCCGAAAGAGAGGGAGCTGCATTAGCTAGAGTGCATTTTCCTGCTTCCGGAAAATGATTAACCGGCTATTATTCCATCCAAAAACACAGGGCCCGAGAGGACTTACTAAGGAGACAGCAAGTCAAACAGAAGCTGGCAAGAAGCAATATATTCCCCCTCCCAGCCGCTCCCCCCCCCTTTTTTAATTTACTAAAATGCTTTGGACACAGATTAACTTTCTTCGCAAATTTATTATTGCTGCAGCTACCTTGAACCGGGAACTGCGGACACTTTGATAAATGGATTGAAGGGTTGTCTAGTTCCAGCGGAGCTTTGAAAGGCTCCCCGGGGCGCTCCCCGCAATGTCAGGCATGCTTTGTTCTCAGAGCCACAG